ACTCCTTACTAAGTTCCGGTGGGCCTCTCCTCAGTACCGGAAACAATACCACCGCTACCCCGCTTTTCTCTAAGCGTCAGCAGGTGTTTCCGATACCCAAGGCAACCACCCTTAGTCAAAGCCTTTGTAACACCTGCAGCCTTGGTTGCCACACAACCGAGGACCTGCATGAATGAGCTACCACTCAGGTGTAAGCTTAATCATTGCTGTAGAGCTTTCGCTTATTGTAGACTTCCTGTGAGGGATGCGTACCAGACCACAAGAGTACACTACGCAGAGCTCAGAGTTCAGCTAACAGCTACAAAGGTAGAAGTCTCCAAGGTCTCTTCAGTCAACGTCGAGTATGATTCTCCTTGATCCGATACGGGCCCCGCGAGCTACGTTATCAACAAAGATTCACTAGAGTTAGCGTTTGATGTTCGACCATCTTCGACGTAATAGTTCAGGTAGAGTTCGAAGCCACGATAGAGTAAAGTAATTCCAAAAGTATAGTCAAATAAAGTTGTAACTCGCGTATCAACGATTTATATTGTTAAGACTCTGATTTCGCCGATGATGGTTTGGCTAGTCAGTGAATGACACAGTATTTATATCCCTCGCTTATGTCTCGAGGACCCAGTCTACTAATAATACAGAATACACTCGGGGCATGCCCGAGACCCTGAAAAACAACCAAGAATATTTAACTCCTAAGTCCGTAACCCAAACTCCTAAAGCCGCTGAAACCCCTCAACCTATTTATCCACTCTAATGCACGTTTCCCTGTCGATGTTTCTTCTCCATCGGCCGTCTGGTGGATAATCGTCAGCGTCGGCTATTCAGAGGTCTCGGACGGCAAGGCTACCTACTCAGGCCTCTTCCCACATCGCTTTCCCACATAGCAGAGTCCTCTCATGCCCACAGGTACTGCCGATAGGTACTCGGTCGGCTGGCAGCTTGCGCCGATTCGCTCCGAGCGGTCCGATCTTCGATCCGATTGATTCCAACTGTCCCTCATATATCCACCGGTACCAAAACACTCCCCTCCGGTGGTTTGACGCTCCGGGGGTTATTATTGGGGTCGAAAACGTGTTTTTTAACTAGGAAAACCGCAACTCCGCATTTGGTCGCATATTGATCGCACCGCACCTCGTGGATGCGAACCGGAGTTGATAGTGGTGTTGCCATTAGTATTAGAGGGTATTGGGGTATCTACTAGCCTTTCTCTCACTCCCGTAAATACTTGGCATGCCCGTAACAGCTTACCCCCCTTCCAGGGTGTCACGTCTCGGGACATCTTCTGACAGACTATGGTTCCAGTAAACCTGCTCCACATATCACCCGCGGTGTCTGTGGAGGGGAAGGACTTAGCCCCGTGGGGTATCTCTATAGTCTCAGGCGTTGGTCCTTCACGGCCTTGGGGTTCCTTCGATGAAAGTCACGGACTAGATCGAGTACGTCCTTGTTCATCACGTCCATGACTTGGTAAGTGCAATCACTCATCGAATAGCCCCGCCATTTCACCAGGTATTCCACTAATCCTCTTCTGCTCTTCCGGCTTCCCACAATACTTTCCACTTCGTACAGCACCTCTCCTTCCTTATCGACCTCTTCGGGAGTTGGGGGACGTTGTTCTCGGCCTGGAATACTGCTCTGTCGATACCGTTCCAAGAGTTCAATATGGAACACGTTATGAATTTTGACTTGTGGTGGCAGTTCCAATTCACAGGCTCGTTTTCCAGCTAGTCGGATGATTTTGAACGGGCCTAGTTTCTTATGATCGAGTTTCTTGGTTGAGCGACGTGTCTTGATATTGGTCGCATTGAGCATAACCATGTCTCCCACCTTGAAGTTAGGCGGTTCGTCCCTTTTCCGATCATAGTATTTCCCCATCTTCTCCCTGGTGTCTGTTAAGCGAGCGAGAGCAGAATCATGAACTCCTCGGATGAAGTGAGCGTACAGGTCACTGGTTGGGTTGACCACTTCGGCTTCCGTCGGCCAGATGGTTCTTGGGTTATAACCGTAATTGGTATAGAACGGAGATTGACCCGTGGCGGTGGTAACCGAGTTGTTGTAAGCATACTCCGCCAACGGGAGTAGCTCTGCCCAATCATCTTGCTCGTAATTACAGAACGCTCGTAGGTAATGCTCGAGGGTTTGGTTGACTCGCTCTGTTTGCCCATCGGTCTGAGGGTGGAAAGCCGTACTCATTCTTATCCTCACGTCCAACAATTCCATAAGGGATGCCCAAAAGCTTGAAGTAAACTTGGCGTCCCTGTCGGAAACTATATCAAGAGGCAGCCCATGGAGTCGCCAGATTTGACCGAGGAATATCTTCGCTAGATCCTGCGCGGTCGTTTCTGCTACTAGGGGGATGAAGTGCGACATCTTCGAGAACCTATCGACTACTACCCAGATTTGGTTGTATCCCTTTGATTCCGGTAACTGCACGACGAAGTCCATTGATATCGATTGCCAGACAGAATGTGGCGTGGACAGTGGTAGAAGCGCGCCGTATTTCTTATGGCGGCTGGGTTTGTTGCGCTGGCACTCGTCACATGACCGAACGTAATCATCAATCTACTCGTTCATTTTTGGCCAATAGAAGTTGCGCGTAATAAGTTCCAAAGTTTTGTCTTGTCCAAAGTGTCCTGCCACCTTCGAATCGTGTTCTGCCTGTGCGATTCGGATCTTGATACGGTCGTCTGCCGGAATATAGAGTCGGTTCTTATAGAAGAGTAGCCCGTCTTTCTCAGCGATATCCTTCAATTCCCCCAGCTTCTCCCCTTGCTCAACTCTCTCTTTCATTCCTACCCATGTCGGGTCTCCCGATGCCGCCTGCCTGACATGATCAAGAAAGTTCTTAGACCAGTCAGTCACTCCCTTGGAGGCAAGCGACACCGCTGATACCACAAACTCTTCCTCCGCCAACTGCCCGGGCTTAAAGAACCTGTCTATCGGCTGTTTCCCAAGCGTGCCTCCCCCTTCAGGACGGTACTCCGGCCGTCGCGATAGTGCATCTGCCTTCCCATTTTTGGTTCCCGGGCGGTAAATAATCTTGAAGTCAAATTCCGCCAAAGATTCAGCCCACCTTGCCTGTCGTCGGTTAAGAACCTTGGTTGTTGAAAAATATTCCAAGTTCTTGTGATCCGTATATACGAGAACCGTTCGGCTAGGTCCTTCGAGGTAGTGACGCCATTGCTTAAAGGCTGACACAATTCCCAACATCTCCTTATCCCAGACGTCGTAGTTGAGTTCCGCTGGGTTAAGTTTTCGAGAATAGAAGGCAACAGGGTGAGTCTTTCCGTCAATAACCTGGGATAGAATTGCGGCGATAGCAAAATCACTTGCGTCCGTTTCCACGATAGTCTGGCGATCTGGAGAGAAGTGTACCAAGATCGGCGCAGACGTAAACAGGGTTTTGAGTTTTTCGAAGGCTGCTTGGGCCGTCATAGACCAGACAAAGTTCTTAGCATCACCCCTAAGACAATCGGTAATGGGTTTACAGACCCCGGAGAAATTGTGGATAAACCTTCTGTAGAAGTTGGCAAAGCCCATGAAGATCTGTACTTCCTTAACGCTACGCGGGGCTTGCCAATTCGTAACAGACATGACCTTATCCAGCGCCATGGTGACGCCTGCTGGGGCAAGGATGTATCCGAGAAACTCGATTTCAGTGAGCTCGAAGAACGATTTCTTCGGGTTGGCGACCAGGTTGTATTCTTGTAGCCTACTAAGGACTTTGCCGACCAACTCTCTGTGCTCCTCCCGAGACTTGCTATATATTAGGATATCATCAAGGTATACTACTACACCTTGATCCAAGAATTCCCTCAGCGCATCATTCATCATGTTCTGGAAGGTCGCCGGCGCATTTGCCAGCCCAAAAGGCATGACGAGGTACTCAAAATGTCCATACCGCGTACGGAAGGCTGTCTTCCACTCGTCACCGTCTTTGATCCTAATGAGGTTGTAACCTTCTTTCAGGTCAATCTTCGAGAAGATAACCGCGCCTGCTACTCGATCTCGCAGCTCGTCCATAAGTGGTAGAGGATACCTATTCTTAATGGACACGCGGTTAAGTCCACGGTAGTCAACGCAAAGTCGCAGACTACCGTCCTTCTTCTTCACAAATAGGATTGGGGCTCCTGCTGGGGATTTGCTGGGCCTAATCTTTCCCAGTCGCAACATTTTGTCCAGGTACTCCCGAAGCACCTTCAGCTCGACTTCGGATAGGGAGTAAACGGGTCCCCATGGCGGCTGCTTTCCTGGTTCAAGATCTATCGCATGGTCGTAAGATCCATGCGGTGGTAATTTATCTGCTTCCGATGGTAGGAAGACTTTAAGGAACCCATGGAGCCAAGAGGGGAGAGTCTCGCGGAGGTTGACCGATTCATCTTCCAAGAGACAGATGCTACCGATGAATTGGGCTTCCGGATCATCCAGTACACCCTGGTCCATTTCTATTTGAGGTTCCTTGTCAGTGAAGCATCGACTCTTACAGTTAACACCATCATAGGAAACTTCCCCATTTGCCCCTATAACCGGCTTATGTTCTTTCAACCACCAGTTCGGTAATATTGCATCGATGCCAAGTGGGAGAGGGGCAATCTCGAATGACAACTGTGTTTGATGCCCCCTTGACATTATAATTAATGGTTGTGTAAAGGCGTGTCCCGTGCCCTTCATGACTTCTCCCGTAAATCCAAATACCCGGGCCGGGACGTCTCGTTTCACCTTCGGGACCTCAAAACTATCAACAAAAACAGCAGACAAAACAGGACCAGTTGCACCAGTATCCAATAACACCTTACAAGGTAAACATTTTTCCGCAAAACAAAGGAACTGATTAACGATAGGTCGAGGACCATGAATAGGTTCCTCCAAAATTTTCTGTTTTTTCTCCGGTTGGGACGCTCTCCCTTCCTGCCTTTTTCTTTTCATATTTTTTTTGTTGTTTTCCGTCAGTGATAACATAGCAATCTGGGGATACTCCTGACCTGACTCATCAGAGTCCCCTTTTAAAAATCCTCGTCGAAATCCATCTCAGATTCCGATCCGCGTTCTCGCACAAACGCTTGCCCACTGGTGTACTCCGCAGCAGCCGTCGCAGCCGGTTTCCTAGCACGGTGCCTCATTCGCTTTCTCTGAGGTTGGGGTTCCGGTGGTTCCATATCGTGGTCGCCATCGTCATCGCGGGTACGCTTTCTGGAGAAAGAGGAGATAGATGCACTGCTGTTAGCATCTGAACGACACCACTTCCAAAGATGACCCTTTCGGCCACATCGCACACAGGCTCCATTGGTCTTTCGCTGTTCTCGGACCGGCTGTGGAACTCCTTTGGTGGCTTCGTCGTAGTCGTGGTATATCGGCTTATTCCCCGACTTGTTCTTGCTAGTGCTCTTCTTATCTTGCCCTTTTTCTTTCTCCTCAGTCTGAGCCCTCCCCTTGATCTTAAACCCCTTCTCCTTGTGCCGCGAGTTCCCACCATTATTCGTCTCCCTTCCTCTCGACTCCGCTTTCCCCAACATCTTCATCTGCCCTTGATAAGCCTCATGAGCCTTGCCGGCTCGTTCCAGCTGTTGGATGTACTTGGAGTCGTAATCGGTTGGATCGAAGCGTGAGTGGCGCTCCCGGATTTCATTTGGTAGCTGTTACGGGCATGCCAAGCATTTACGGGAGTGAGAGAAAGGCTAGTAGATACCCCAATACCCTCTGTATGCTAATATCAACTCTTGACCACACTCGCGGAGTGTGGTGCGACCAAATTACGACCAAAAAACCCAGAGTCATATAAAACACGTTTTCGACCCCAATAATAACCCCCGGAGCGTCAAACCGCCGGAGGGGAGTGTTTTGGTACCGGTGGATATATGAGGGACAGCTGGAATCAATCGGATCGAAGATCGGACCGCTCGGAGCAAATCGGCGCAAGCTGCCAGCCGACCGAGTACCTATCGGCGGTACCTGTGGGCATGAGAGGACTCTGCTATGTGGGAAAGCGATGTGGGAAGAGGCCTGAGTAGGTAGCCTTGTCGTCCGAGACCTCCGAATAGCCGACGCTGACGATTATCCACCAGACGGCCGATGGAGAAGAAACATCGACAGGGAAACGTGCATTAGAGTGGATAAATAGGTTGAGGGGTTTCAGCGGGTTTAGGAGTTTGGGTTACGGACTTAGGAGTTAAATGTTCTTGGTTGTTTTTCAGGGTCTCGGGCAGGCCCCGAGTGTATGCTGTATTATTAGAAGACTGGGTCCTCGAGACATAAGCGAGGGATATAAATACTGTGTCATTCACTGACTAGCCAAACCATCATCGGCGAAATCAGAGTCTTAACAATATAAATCGTTGATACGCGAGTTACAACTTTATTTGACTATACTTTTGGAATTACTTTATTCTATTGTGACTTCGAACTCTACCTGAACTATTACGTCGAAGACGGTCGAACATTACACGCTAACTCTAGTGAATCTTTGTTGATAACGTAGCTCGCGGGGCCCGTATCGGATCAAGGAGAATTATACTCGACGTTGACTGAAGAGACCTTGGAGACTTCTACCTTTGTAGCTGTTAGCCGAACTCTGAGCTCTGCGTAGTGTACTCTTGTGGTCTGGTACGCATCCCTCACAGTATATTGTTACTCACAAGTTCACTTGGAGTAACGAAGTCACCTCAAAGAAAAGAACTATCATCGTTATCCCCTATCACAATGACTACCCGAAGGGATAATTACTTCATAGATACCTCAGCCGCAACTGAGGAGGCCGGAGGAGAAGATTCTATGGTGATATCAAGGGCTGCTAGCCCAGACCCCCTAGTGACGGGAGGACCCTCTACAACAACTAGGCAATCGAGTAAACGCTCTGCTCAAGCCCAGTTCGTGAGGAATATGCAGGAGTTTTTGGATACCCATGAGGCACAAATGAGGTATCTTGGTGCAGCTGGACAGGCCGTTTGGCAGCAGCTACAAAACCTCCAGGAACAAGTCCAAGGAAGTGGGCAAATTCTGGACAAGAAGGTACGGCAAGAAGCCATTGCCCAAAAACAACATCTGGAATCGCTCTTTGAGCTCGTCGCCAGTGTCCAACAAGTACACGAAGCTGCACGAGCCGCCGACCACAAGGTGCTGGAGCAAAGTCATCTACAAACCCAGAACCAGTTACAGGAGGCGGAGCGACAACTGAGGATGGTAAGAGAAGAGCGAGAGCAGGAAAAAGGGGAGCAACGAGCTTGGTTTGCGGAATTCAAGCGGTCCGATGCGGAAAGAAACCAACGGATAGCCGAGATGGAGGAACTACTGCGACAACATCTGTCAGTAGCACCTTCCGTGGCAAGTGCTCCCTTAGATCCTAATGCACCCCGAACGGTTCCTGTTGGCAATGGCAAGAAACCCGAAAATGCTGGCCCAGTAGGAGGAAACGCTGGTCCAGTAGGAGGGAATGGAGGCAGGCAACCGGAGGATGCCGGCCCAGTGCAGGGCAATAATGGCAGAGGACCGGTGGGAGCTGCTCCAGTTGGCGGGAATGGTGGGAATCAACCTCCACAAAACCCACCAAGAGGAAACGTTGGGGGAGACCCAGAACCTTCCGACGACGATGACGACGATAACAGTGAATGGTCGCACGGTCGGAAGAATTGGAGAAGGAACCGAGGCGGGAACCGGAATTCGGCGCCGCCTGAAGACGATGATATGGTAGATTCGCTTGCCAAAATACCCTTCGAGTTCGATAATGCCAGGAAGCATAACCTGCGGCATTGGCTCATGGAATGCGAGATCTACTTTGAGCAGAAGCCCAAGAAGTTCCGAACGGACAGGAACAAGGTACTGTTCGCTGGAACGTATACGTGTGGGTTGGCAAAGGAATGGTTCATGGAATACATCGAGACCAAGATGCTAGGACCGGCAGCCGCGGACTACGCCACTTGGACTCGGTTCCGTCAGGAGATTAGGAAACGCTTCTTAAGTACTCAGGAGGCTATGGAAAACGCGATGAAGATGCAGCAGTTTAAGTACTCTGCTAACATCGGAGACTACCTGACAAGAATGGAGATCATGAACCAGCATGCTCAGATGAAAGGAGCATCCTATCGCGCCGCCTTGCTCCAAGGACTACCAAATGAAATCCGGGAGCGCCACTCACGCTTCGATCCAACTGAGGACGACTCCGAGTACATCCAACAGTTGGAACGAGCCGGTAAGGCTCATGAGGCCTATCAAGAGCAAATGAAGATGTTGGGGAAAGCGGAGTCGAGAGGAAGGGAGACGAATAATGGTGGGAACTCGCGGCAAAAGGAGAAGGGGTTTAAGATCAAGGGGAGGGCTCAGACCGAGGAGAAAGAGAAAGGGCAAGATAAGAAGAGCACCAGCAAGAACAAGTCGGGGAATAAGCCAATATACCACGACTACGACGAAGCCACCAAAGGAGTTCCACAGCCGGTCCGAGAACAGCGAAAGACCGATGGAGCCTGTGTGCGATGTGGCCGAAAGGGTCATCTTTGGAAGTGGTGTCGTTCAGATGCTAACAGCAGCGCATCTATCTCCTCCTTCTCCCGAAAGCGTACCCGCGATGACGATGGCGACCACGATATGGAACCACCGGAACCCCAACCTCAGAGAAAGCGAATGAGGCACCGTGCTAAGAAGCCGGCTGCGACGGCTGCTGCGGAGTACACCAGTGGGCAAGCGTTTGTGCGAGAACGCGGATCGGAATCTGAAATGGATTTCGACGAGGATTTTTAAAAGGGGACTCTGATGAGTCAGGTCAGGAGTATCCCCAGATTGCTATGTTATCACTGACGGAAAACAATAAAAAAAATATGAAAAGAAAAAGGCAGGAAGGGAGAGCGTCCCATCCGGAGAAAAAACAGAAAATTTTGGAGGAACCTATTCACGGTCCTCGACCTATCATTAATCAGTTCCTTTGTTTTGCGAAAAAATGTTTACCTTGTAAGGTGTTGTTGGATACTGGTGCAACTGGTCCTGTTTTGTCTGCTGTTTTTGTTGATAGTTTTGAGGTCCCGAAGGTGAAACGAGACGTCCCGGCCCGGGTATTTGGATTTACGGGAGAAGTTATGAAGGGCACGGGACACGCCTTTACACAACCATTAATTATAATGTCAAGGGGGCACCAAACACAGTTGTCATTCGAGATCGCCCCTCTCCCACTTGGCATCGACGCGATACTACCGAACTGGTGGTTGAAAGAACATAAGCCGGTTATAGGGGCAAATGGGGAAGTTTCCTACGAGGGTGAGAACTGTAAGAGTCGTTGCTTCACTGACAAGGAACCTCAAATAGAAATGGACGAGGGTGTACTGGATGATCCGGAGGCCCAATTCATCGGTAGCATCTGCCTCTTGGAAGATGAATCGGTTAACCTCCGCGAAACTCTTCCCTCTTGGCTCCATGGGTTCCTTAAAGTCTTCCTACCATCGGAAGCCGACAAACTGCCACCGCATCGATCTTACGACCATGCGATAGATCTCGAACCAGGGAAGCAGCCACCATGGGGACCCGTTTACTCCCTATCCGAAGTCGAACTGAAGGTGCTTCGGGAGTACCTGGACAAAATGTTACGATTGGGAAAGATTAGGCCAAGCAAATCCCCTGCAGGAGCCCCAATCCTATTTGTGAAGAAGAAGGACGGTAGTCTGCGACTTTGCGTTGACTACCGTGGACTTAACCGAGTGTCCATTAAGAATAGGTATCCTCTACCACTTATGGACGAGCTGCGAGATCGAGTAGCAGGCGCGGTTATCTTCTCGAAGATTGACCTGAAAGAAGGTTACAACCTCATTAGGATCAAAGACGGTGACGAGTGGAAGACAGCCTTCCGTACGCGGTATGGACATTTTGAGTACCTCGTCATGCCTTTTGGGCTGGCAAATGCGCCGGCGACCTTCCAGAACATGATGAATGATGCGCTGAGGGAATTCTTGGATCAAGGTGTAGTAGTATACCTTGATGATATCCTAATATATAGCAAGTCTCGAGAGGAGCACAGGGAGTTGGTCGGCAAAGTCCTTAGTAGGCTACAAGAATACAATCTGGTCGCCAACCCGAAGAAATCGTTCTTCGAGCTCACTGAAATCGAGTTCCTCGGATACATCCTTGCCCCAGCAGGCGTCACCATGGCACTGGATAAGGTTATGTCTGTTACGAATTGGCAAGCCCCGCGTAGCGTTAAGGAAGTACAGATCTTCATGGGCTTTGCCAACTTCTACAGAAGGTTTATCCACAATTTCTCCGGGGTCTGTAAACCCATTACCGATTGTCTCAGGGGTGATGCTAAAAACTTTGTCTGGTCTATGACGGCCCAAGCAGCCTTCGAAAAACTCAAAACCCTGTTTACGTCTGCGCCGATCTTGGTACACTTCTCTCCAGATCGCCAGACTATCGTGGAAACGGACGCAAGTGATTTTACTATCGCCGCAATTCTATCCCAGGTTATTGACGGAAAGACTCACCCTGTTGCCTTTTATTCTCGAAAACTTAACCCAGCGGAACTCAACTACGACGTCTGGGA